ATGTATTCAAATACGTATTAGGTATTTTTCAAAAAAATTTGACGGGAATTTGTTGTTTGCAGGAATCAAGCACGAAATTTCTTGGCTGAAGCGATTCATCAGGCGCAAACAAGTCATGATTTGGTATGTTTGCGGCTGGCGCAAGTTGAACAAGCTGCAATTGATGCAATTGAAAATTTGCGTGCTCCTGTGGGAAGTAGCAGTACAAAAGAATCAACAGGTACCATAGTTATGTTTTAAAAAAAAAAACGTTAGAAAAAGTTTTGATTTTACGGAGGACTTGTGATATTTTTCAGAAATTTTTAAGCCTATTGTAGCCACCTAGTTAACCTTGGGTGTCGAAATAAGGAAGGTATTTAAGATAGAGAACAGGAGAAAATGGAAGGAAGAACGAATGAGATAAAACGTTTTGCTGAAAAATCAGTTTTTGTAGTTCTGGGCTTTTTTGTATTCCTTCTGAATATCGATATTATTTTCTTCCTTCTTTCTCATATGTATTTTTTCTGATTGATTTGACACAGTGGTATTGTGGCCTATCTTCTAATCCATCACCGGGGAGGACAACCGTTCATGTACAGTTTGTTGATTCGTTTCGATCGTAACTCATGGATTGCCACTCTGCAAAAACAGCCGATTAATGGCAAGGGTATCGACAGTTAGTCCTTGAAGAAAGCGATACTAACACCCTGTCATCTGGACATTTTGAAACACCTGCGTCTTCCACAGAGAATGATTCATATCATTTCCACTTCTGTTTCTTCCTGTCGTCTTTCTTTTCCTTTTCCACTAAAGCACTGCGGTCGCCATACTGACAAAGTCCTGTCGCTCGGTGTTGAGTTAAGACGTATATGACTTTTAATGGACCGAAAAGTCTTATCTCACTCTCTCTTACCTTCTTTTTCTCGTACTGTCCTTTCCTTGCTATAAGTAAAAGACCCCACTGGCTGTTTGGGACCTGTGCGTAAAAGGAATTAGGAAAATAAGGGCTGAACCGGTGCTGGGTGACTCTAACTAGGGTGAATTTTATTAAATTGGAAGGGGGGAGGGAAATATAATAGGGTGAAGAAGATAGTAGTGTTGAATATATACCAAAAAACAGTGTGTCATGTGAAGAGGAAATGTTAAGTGGTGTATGTGGAAAGCAGCTTATTTATGTTTCATCCCTGAGCTGTAAACACAGACAGCATGAGACATGATTAGGGGCGTTGATCATCAGTACAGCCCCCTAACCACTATGTTTGAATGAACATAGTATGGGCGAGTGATGAAATAGGATAAAAAAATCTATCGCGCCGTCGCCACTTAGGCTTCCCGGATCAACCTGGTTGCTACGCAATCGGCCTATGAATATGTACACAGTTTCACGTTATTGTGTATTTCTCAGCATCAGCACCACGGCGTTCGGTAATGTAATATGATATTCCAGGATATGATCTTTCAACGGCTTTTCTTCTGTCGTGC